TTTGTCACTCCGTATGATGGAGAGGTATCACTGGGCCCACTCGGTAATGCATCATCATAATGAGCTCAAAGTGACCAAGTGTCTGGTCACAGGATCATGCATTACAGTACGAGTAAAGTGACTTGCCAGTAACGAGATTGAACGAGGTATTGGGATACCGACGATCGGATCTCGGGCAAGTAACATACCGAATAACAAAGGGAATTGTATACGGGGTTGCTTGAATCCTCGACATCGTGGTTCATCCGATGAGATCATCGAGGAGCATGTGGGAGCCAACATGGGTATCCAGATCCCGCTATTGGTTATTGGCCGGAGAGCGATCTCGGTCATGTCTACATGTCTCCCGAACCCGTAGGGTCTACACACTTAAGGTTCGGTGACGCTAGGGTTGTAGGGATATGTATATGCAGTAACCCAAATGTTGTTCGGAGTCTCGGATGAGATCCCGGACGTCACGAGGAGTTCCGGAATGGTCCGGAGGTAAAGAATTATATATGGGAAGTACTATTTCGGGCATCGGGACAAGTTTCGGGGTCACCGGTATTGTACCGGGACCACCGGAAGGGTCCCGGGGGTCCACCGGGTGGGGCCACCTGTCCCGGGGGCCACATGGGCTGTATGGGGTGCGCCTTGGCCTACATGGGCCAAGGGCACCAGCCCCAAGAGGCCCATGCGCCTAGGGTTTCAAGGAGGAAGAGTCCTAGGAGGGGAAGGCACCTCCTAGGTGCCTTGGGGAGGAGGGATTCCTCCCCTTGGCCGCACCCCCCTAGGAGATTAGATCTCCTAGGGCCGGCGCCCCCCCCCCCCTTGGCCCTCCTATATATAGTGGGGGAGATGGAGGACTTCTTACCTTGATCTTTGGTGCCTCCCTCTCCCTCTCCAACACCTCCTCCTCCTCCATAGTGCTTGGCGAAGCCCTGCCGGAGTACTGCAGCTCCATCACCACCACGCCGTCGTGCTGCTGCTGGAGCCATCTCCCTCAACCTCTCCTTCCCCCTTGCTGGATCAAGAAGGAGGAGACGTGGTTGTTCCGTGCGTGTGTTGAACGCAGAGGTGCCGTCCGTTCGGTGCTAGGATCTTCGGTGATTCGAATCACGTCGAGTACGACTCCCTCATCCCCGTTCTTTGAACGCTTCCGCTCGCTATCTACAAGGTACGTAGATGCATCTAATCACTCGTTGCTAGATGAACTCCTAGATGGATCTTGGTGAAACCGTAAGAAAATTTTTGTTTTCTGCAACGTTCCCCAACACAGGGGTGGACGACATGGCGAGGGGGTTGTTCCTCCCCTCTTTTTATAATAGGCCATGGGGTGGCCGACTTGGGGAGGGGGCTATCCCAAAGGGGTGTGCCCGCATCTAGGGCCAGCTGCCCCCAAAGGGGGCGCACCCCCTCCCAAGCCTAGTTGCACCAAGTTGGGCTTGCCCCCACCATTGAGCCCTAGTGGCCCATGTAGGGCTGCTCCACTTGGGCATTGCCAAGTGGCAGCCCCACAACGACCTCTAAAACATTCAGGGAGGTTCAGGAAACTTTCAAAATCTTCCCACTCCTTCTGGATGCTTTCTAGGGTTACACGGAACATTTTTGGTTTTCGATTTTTTCGATTTTCTTCCAAAACCTTCTGGCTCTCTCTCCGAAGCATTTTTCTCTTTATTCGAAACTTTTCTGGTGAAAATTACATAAGCTCCTACGCTTCTAATACTCAAGAGATAGGTGACCCTTAAGCATTGACCGCACGGGTTCAGTAAAGTATAGACATGACCGGAACTCCTTCCATTCAATGATCAATAGCGGAATTGTGGACATCCATATTGATCCCTATACCCACACGAATGATTATCGAAATGCTTTACAAAACCCAAGGTGAGATTTATCGCCATCTAGGTAAATCGGCACTTGATCACTATGCTAATTATCCTCTTTACCGGTTCTGTTCTCTTTTCTCGTTCCTGCGTTTCGCCATCCCTGTGAAAAATCACATTGTGTCTAGCCAGATGATGATGGATATCTCCGCACCGAGAGGGCCCTAAGAATATCTCTCCATCACCGGAGGAGCAAATCATAGTCTCGAGCTATCAAGTCCATTGTCATACTTTTCTGATGCGCCTGAAATTTGTTGTTATGATTACCCTCTTACGGTTGACGTTTGACAAACCCCAAAGTACATCATCCGGTATGCAGAACATGATACTCTCATGGTCAAAGGAATTATGCATACGTTAACATCTGTGTGCTTGTACTAATAACTGTGACGATATGATCTCGTAGTATAACAATAAATTGGTCTGTTGAACACAAATGTTCTTTCAATAATGTGCTCTCAAAACATCCTTATTAATTTAATTATGCCCAAGCCTATGATCAAGAAAACAGAACCATCATACAACACTTGAGCTAGTCTTAGAGGGAGACTAGGAATCTATTTTCTGCTTATTATTCCACACATACACATGAGTTTTCCTCTAAGTCTCGTGGTTATCGCAGACTCGAGAACCATTGCAATTATATCACATAAAAACATTAATATAAACTTAAAAATGAATAATAATATTTATTATTTTCTCTAAGGCATATTTCCAACAGCCCGAACATTTGGCCTTGGTTTAAGGAGTGATCGGATGACCTTTTTTGGTCTGGGCCATGTTCAGGCGGACCGGCCAGACGTTTACGGGGAGAAATAGGGGTCCGGTTTGAGATGCTCTAAGATCAATTGCAGGGGAAAATGTTAGTAGCATTTTGGCCCATCATCAACTAGGGCATATCATACAGGCGTATACTAGCACAGGCTATACCTATATAGGCAGACATGTTGACTTCTCTGGAAAATAACAAGCCTGACAGATTCATCGGGCCAGCAGGCCATGCCAATCACTGGAACACAGGAAAAGACACATCGAGCAGGCACTCTATTGAGGAAGGGCCCGGACAAAGCTTCCAATCCATCATCGTCCATGTGATCCAAAAAATATCCAGTAAAACCCCAAAAAGGACACAGCGGCATTGCATTTCTCAGTTCCCACAACACCTACTCAAGCAACCCTAAAAAAAGACCTCAAGCAGATCAGTGGCGAGCTGCATCATCACAAACTCAGAACAGCATTCAACAACAGTAACGAAGTGCAGAATACATAGATGTTTCCAAGCAACTCTAATGGTATAGGGACCGTTAGATCAGAAGCAACTACATTCGCCCTCAAAAAGAAGAACCAACTACATTCAGTTTTGCACTCTGGGGTTCACAAGTGCTCTTTTGTTCACTGTGACGGGTCACCTTGATCCACTGCTAGGTTTACACTTTACAGTGTTGATTGAGGTTCAGATGAAACCAAGAGATCTAAGAAGTGCAAAAGTGTGAACGCCTGCCTTCTTTTAACTCCATGGTCCCATGGATATTCAAGAGTCATAACGATAACTTCTTTTTCTTCTTTGATGTATTGTGGAGCTTGGAATCTTTAGCGGCCTGCATGAGGAAATCATCCATCAGAGACATAGGAAGGCTGATGACTCAAGAAAACACAGATAAGATACTGTTAGAGGAAACCATGAACATCATGAATGAATGAATGTTCCATATAGGTGGTAGGTGCCAGACGGTGAAGTAAAATTCCAGTAACAGAATTATCACATCAATAAGGAACCGTTTCATATGGCACCATCCAATGAGCAACACTGCAAGGAGACACTGTGGACTATAAATATCACGCTCATACGGTGAACAGAGGTGACAGTGCCCAGAACCTACATTATGTATATCAAGTAGTTCTGGCCAATGACAACTGCAGTGGCGGAGCTTAGTGCAACCCTGCAGGGGCCACGGCCCCCCCAGGTTTGAGCAAATTAATGAAGACATTTTTTCTGGGAAAACATATATTAGAGGAAACAGTCTGCTTAGCCCCCCCAAATGTTCATATTTTCTAATTGGCGCCCCCATTGATCCTTGTCAAGCTCCGCCACTGGACAACTGCATAACTGCTTTACTTTCCAAAACTCACTTTATGAATGAGGATTGTAGAATACATTTCAGTTCATCACATTATCTAGTGTCTACCCAATGATTTCCTATTTTCCATTAGAAAAGGACAAACAGAATACCAAAACAGCCACTGTATTATATTATGTTTCGGTCAAAAAATAGTATTACCTTTGTTTTTCTCCTTTTCTTTTTCTTTTTCTTCTTTTCCTGTCTCTGCGCCCCGTCATCTTGATTGGAAACCTCAGAGGAATCCTCAAATGATGGAACATGCCGTACTACTCTCCCAGAAGTTGAGGCCTCACCTACATTAGCAGGACAGTGTAGGTCGAATTTGGTCAGGTCTGGAAGGGGTGTAGGTCAAAATAGGTTTTGAGGGGATGTGGCCAACTGGTCATGTATGTGAAATTTGCTAGCGCAATATAAAAAGAGTAAAGTTGACAACATCAATAAAGCAAAAAACAGTGGCAGAGCTCAACCACATCTTCACAGTAGTCCAGAAATCAGGCAAAGCTTTACCATTAATTTTAAATCAACCAGTATCAGGAAAATAAGATCTAGTCTTAAAATTATCGTTAGTGATTCAGGTGTTTCTCACTCGATCTATAACTGGAGACTGCATGGTCCTAAAACAAATGGCATCCACTCTTTCAAACTTTTGTGTCATGTTCTGTGGCAAAAATCACAAGAGATGTAGTAACAAGCACTCTAAGCAGGCAAGACTTGGAAACAAAAGGCATAAAATAAGGTTTATTCATGCTCCTATTTCAATATTGCACTCAGAAGTAACAAATGGCACCTAAAATAGAAGCATAAACTTTAATCATGATATAACTCATCCAATACATGCATTTCAAGGGCTAGACATATGAATATAGGATAAGTGGAATGACAGTCCGTACCCTTGCTTGCCTTAATGGTTTCCTTTGCATTTTTCACAGCCAAATTTACAAGATCAGGATTTAGAGAGTCCAAGCCATCAGGTTGCTGTAGTTTTCTCTCGAGGAATTTCGCTAAAGCAGCAGCCTTATTTGTAGTTAGTGGTCCTCCAGGATGGGCCATCCTATTTGAAAGGAGATGAAACAGTCATATCCATAACCAAAGAAAAGTACTCATGCAAATTATATGTTCTTTAGCAAGCCCATATAAACATCACAAGGAATTAACTCTGCTGGTTATTTGTGCATGACACTGTTTTATGTTCCATGCGATACCCATCGAGCATGAATGTTATATTTTTTTTATATACAAAAATAGGACTATACGGACGCAAGTATGCATAGAAGCAATAACCCCAACTTAATCCAAAAATCAGATACATCACCAATCACTCATGAAAGCCACAAAAAGTAAAGCATCCTAGTGATATGAAATTTTGAATCACGTGGCGCACTCGCTCATTCTTCACTTCATGTGCAAGCAGCAGACACGCCACGAGTGTTGAAAGCACAATCTAAATCCGAGTCATTTTTTCTCATCTAGCACTGCAAACCTCACAAATTTAATCAGCAGCACTGCAAGCAACAGAAGCAAGCAGCGAGAAACTACTTGAAATCAGCTTATCGGAAGACTTCAATCACACAACCTGAATTCAACTACACGCACTCCGCTTCAAATGAAGCAATCAACGAGCAAAATGACGAAGCCCTAATCCACAGCCCCAGAAGGCCAGAAAGCCCTCCGGTTCCTCCACTGAACCGAATTAAGCAAACACCCACGCTTGAATCGAGCCCCAACCCCGCCCACTACAACGGCGAAACCACACGACGCGCGTGGACCGTCAGACCGCGAGCTACATTTAGTGCATCTGGAGGCGGCAGGCGCTAGTGAGGGGGCGATGCGGTACCTCGGGTTGGGGCGGGAGGACGGCCGTGGCGCCGGGAGGGGCGCGAACTTGCTCCCCCGCAGCGCTTTGCGCTCGTCCTCGGTCAGGTCGCCGCCCGCCGCCATGCCGCCGCCGCCGTGCGATGGGACGAGGAGGAGGAGGAAGGCGACTCGTCTGTTCGGGTTGGTTGGTTGCTCTCTTGGGGTTCGATCGGACCAGATCGGCTTTCCCTCTATGCCGTGTGGGCCCATGCGCACCGGTTTGGGGTTCGGTCGGGCTAGGTTTGCAGCCTGACCGGACCGTGCAATCGAGCCTAGTATGGCAGATGGGGCCGTATGTACAGATGTGATTCTTTCCAAGGCTCTAAAGCGGTCAAAAAGAAGATAAGCTTTTTTTTCCTATACATATGCACACACATGCACATCCTATTTTGATGAGCACCTTAAAAAAACTAAGCCGGTATATCACTTTAAAATCGACGAAGTCATGAAAGACGCCTCGTATGAAGGAACTGTCTCTTTTCCAAGCAAGAGCTCAGTGCTGCCAAGGAAAATCTGCAAGGCAATGATCATGTTACGTGATTATGCCGCATTAGAAAATACTACTTCTAACTTAATATAAGAAACACTTATGTTATTTTGCTATATATTTTCGAATACCCATTCCTGAGCCTAGGCTCGTCTTTATCTGGCAAAAAAACACAAAAGTTATTAAAAAGATTAGAAAAATCTAATTATCTTTGTACATAAAAGATAATTTGATGCGTGAGACACGCTCTAAATATCAGATCATTTGGGCACATGAGCAGTTAGGTGGACAGTGATATCCCCAACCCACCAGGGTTCAAATTCTGGTGCTCGCATTATTCCTGAATTTATTTCAGGATTTCCGACGATGCGCTTTCAGTGGGAGGAGACGTTCCCGTCGACGACGAGGCACCTACGGTGACTTCGTAAATCTCAAGATGATATGCCAGCTCAGTCTCTCGGAGGTGCTCATAGGGATAGGGTGTGCGTGGGTGCGTTCATAGGGATGAGTGTATGCGCGTGTATATAAGCGCTTGTGTCTGTACTGATGCTCAAAAAACAAAAAAAATCAGAACAATACAATAATAAACTTTTTCACATATCTCATAGTTGTTTTTTTTTTTTTGCCAAGAGGTACCCAGATGTCCAAATGATCTAAAATTTGAAGCGCATTTCACACACCAAATTAACTTTCATGCAACAAGAAGTCGGATTTTTTTGAATTTTCTAATTTTCTGTTCATCGCCGGTGCAGCCAAGCCTGGGCATCGAACCGCCTCGTCCATATATTCCTGCTATCCGTTCTTTATCTCAAGTTGAGACCAGATCGCGCTCCGTCAAATAGGTGGAAGCTATCACCATGTTAAGCCATGCTGTAATTTCATGTTTCTGCTGTATTACCAAGGAAGCTCATAAGAAAGATCACAAGATATGGGGATAGATGTATACTGCATACTGTCCATTGTTCATCTCAAGCAGATAACACACCGTGCTTGCTCAAATACGTGGTAATTGAAGTTACTGACAGGCACAAGCAAAGAATGTTCGAACTTTCTAGTTGTTGATCGCAGTAATGATGTTACCTATCATGAACTGAAAATCTGAAACATGCTGTATTTACATGTTCACCAAAGCCCCGGAATTCAGAACGATGGCAGCTTTAGCCTGTTCGGCCGGCCACCGCCCATCTTTACATCGCCTGAAAGCTCGGTGACACTGACAGGCATCCGAAAGACCAGACAAAAAATTACACTAGACATAGTAGATCATGCCAACCTCGATGAGGCTGATGTGGGGTATATGCAGCGTCACCGACGGGCCCCTGCAGTTCTTGCGGAGGAATGAGTAGGCGTAGTCGATCGCAAACGACTTCAGGAAGTTGGAGTTCTTCCTCGCCTTGACGTAGGAGTGGCCGATGATGTACGCCACGCCGGCCTCCTTGGCCTCCAGGAGGTCCGACAGCTCGTCCCTCACCTGCGGGTTGATCTGCTCCTCCTCGGCGATCTGGAAACGGACCCTGCGGCGGCTCAGGCCGCCCGACTCCTGCTCGTAGATGGACTGCAGGCTCTGGAGGGTCTCTGACTTGCTGCTCCTGGTAAGGGAGGTGCCTTCATTGGAGTCTCTCATGATCAGCCCGGTTCCGGTTGCGTCGGTGGTGTGTATGACTGCCATTCTTCCCTCGTTCGATGACTCGTAGCTTCCAGAAGAGGCGGCTTCCTCGGCTTCCATTTGGATGAACTTGGCGATGCTCATCACCAGGTGGTTCTCGAAGTTCTCATCGTCTTTCTGGACATCCTTATAACCGTATCTCACAATGCACCGGTACATCCGGTACTGCCTGGGGCCGATGCGCCCGATGAGGTACCGCTCATCAACTGGAACATAGGGCACTGGCACGGACTTCACGCAGACAAAGACCAAAATCTGGTGAAATGCAGGCAGGTTGGTGACGAAATGTGAGAAGATGGCAGGCACCCCGGTCACTAGCTCTGTGTAGATGAGGCCAATTCCAGGCACACGCACGATTCCAAGGCTCGGGCCAAGTGTAAGGATCCATTTCATTGAGACCTTGTTTTGGAGATCAAACAGGTACTTTCGCCGTGTGCCATAGTGCCACACGTACATGATGAACATGAACACGAAAGCAAGCGCAATCGGAGTCCATCCTCCCTGAGGAACCTTTATGAATGATGCAGACAGATATGCGCCCTCAATTAACCCGAAGAATATGAGGAACGACAAGGCAAGCAGGATATTCTTTTTCCACACAAATATGATGACCAGTGCCATCAGCCATGTCGTAACAAACATCACAGTGATGCACGCAAGACCTAAGATCATGCACAGGATGGGAGCAAAAGTTAGTCCAGGCATACCAAGCATAAAAAAATCATGAAAAAAAGGGCAGGCTAGATACAGTCTCGTGATAAAACAAGGAAAGATGGTAGTGACCAGCTAACTATACACACCTCCCAAGATATGAACATCAACTTAACCCCTCCTACCCAAGATAGACTATTCACCTCTAAAGGATATGAACATCACACTTACAGCCTAAAAAAAACGTAGCAGCTGGTTGGCTGAATTTGCCGACATAAACGAGATACGCGTGATACATAATTTAGACAATTATAAATTCTTAGCACAGAAATTAAAAGTTCATAGCTATATTTTGGTTGGATCAAGAACAGTGACATTGAATGTGCATGACAGAAATGAATTGTCAACATAAGATGGTGAACTATGTTGCACAGAAAATAGCAGGTTCTGAATAAAATGAAGTATATGAGGAACCATCAGATTCAAGAGCAAAACCCAAGTGTACCATAGGATCTGCATAGTTTCTGCATTATTGAAGTGGTCGAACTTACCATAAGCATTTCCTATAATGTTTATGTCACGGAAGCCAACTGTGACAGCTAAACAAAGGACCATCAGAATCCAATTTATCTCAGGTATGTAAATCTGTCCATAGATCCACCTTGATGTATGCACAACTTTCACCCGTGGAAAGCATCCCAAAGAAAGGCACTGCTTGACAATAGAGAAGGTTGCAGATATAATTGATTGGCTGCCTACAATTGCAGCAAGAGATGCCAGGACAAACATGGGCCAAAACACAGTACCTGCAAAAGTGATGTGATATGATTTAATACTATTTTCAGCAACATGTGAAGTGAGAATTCTCAAGCATGCTTTGGTCTTCTGAAACTTACGTGGAATTGATAGGTAAAAACTGTCATGTACATCAGACATGTTCTTGGAAAGAAACGCAGCCTGCCCCATGTATTGCAGAACAAGACAGGGATATATGACACCAACAAAAGCCAGCTATAAAAGGTGAAGAGTTGTAGTCAGTCAGCATGATATATATTTCTTATCAGTCTAGCCTTAAAATATACTCCCTCCGTTCCAGAATATAAGGTGTATTGATTTCCATGCAAGTCAACCATTTGAATGTTTGACCAAGATTATAGAATAAAATAACAACATCTGCAATACCTAATAGATACAATATGAAACTACTTTGCACGATGTTTCAAATGATATAAATTTCATATTGTGGATGTTGATATATTTTTCTAAAATCTCGGTCAAACATGCACTCGTTTGACTTTTCAAAAAAAAAATACACCTTATATAAAGGAACGGAGGGAGTAGGTCACAACTCATATATGAAGTTCTGCATACCCTGATGGATGCAGCAGTGAAGTGGCCAAGATCGGCAAACATAGCTTCAGTGCCTGCATGTATCACAAATATTCATAAGACAAACTCTTCATTACAAATAATGGATAATCATAGATAGATAGGACATCCATTTGAATTCACCTGTCACAGCAAGAAGTACTCCTCCTAGAGAAATCCAACCATCTCTTCCTGTTATCTTGAAGAACTTCACAATATAATGCGGGGAAAGAGCAAGACATACTCTGGGGTTCCAGTGGATGATATTATAGAGACCAATGATACCAATGCTCAAGAGCCAAAGTACAACAATGGGGGCAAACACGAATGCCACCCTATGAGTACCTCGGTGTTGTAGCGCAAAGAGGCCAACAAGCACAACACATGCAATGAGTACTACCCAACCTGTAAAAGAACAAGTTAGTCAATATAATGAGAGCCATTTACTAAAGGAAACTACAAGTAATGCAGATATGTTTCCTCAAGGAAGAAATCAGCGGCAACAGTAATATCTTTGATGCAAAAAAAGAACTATGTACTCTTTCAAGATATACAGGTTACGAAGTCATAAAGGCAGCTCATTTAAACTCTACACCAGATCATCATGCAAACAGGGGTGCCTTGAAATTTATCTAATTTTCAGTCACATCATCCCCCATACTGCTAATATAATTCAAACAAATAATTAGGTGTTCTGATTCTTTCAAATTTCAATGTTCCATCTGTTACCTATCAACTTTGTCGAATTCATGCAACCGATTCTTTCCAATTTCAATGTTCCATCTGTCCCTTATCAACTTTGTCGAACTCACGCAAATAAGCACATGAAGAAAATCTTAAAGTACACTAAATAATTGATTTAATTATCATAAAATGGGACGATTATTTTCCTCAACTAAAGATAAAGACAAGAAAACCTTTGATTACTTGAAGGTAATTTGAGCTACAGCTCCAATTTTACAGTTCCACGCATGACAGATAGATAACTAAACATTGAAATGCATTGGATTCCAGCATATAGATTAAGAACAACCAAGATTAATATTATATCAGATAGCTTGACTGGCACTTGCAAAATAGGAAAACCTCTACATAGAATTTGACCATACTAGTCAAGGGAAGTCTGGAGATGCTTGTGTTGTTTAATTCCATTCTAACATATGGAAGTTCACTTACCCACTCTGAAGGTTTGAAGTAAAACTAGATGAAACACCTTCTTAAGAGGGTTTTTTTTTATAAATATGTAACGATTATAGCAAATTACTGTCACAGGAACGGGTTGCTAAATATCTACTCAGTCCGCATGTAAGGTTTGTATGAAGTCAAAATATCTCAACTTTGACGAAACTTATAGAAAAAAAATATCAACACTCACAATGCCGAACTAATATTGTTAGATTCATTATGAAATGTAGTTTCATAGTATATATATATTTGATATTGTGGATGTTGATATTTTTTAATATAAATTTGGTTAAACTTTGCAAAGTTTGACATGACACAAATCTAATACGCGGAGTAAAAAGGACCGGAGGGAGTATTATGCGGTTGGGGGAAAATAAAGAAAAGCTACACATACCATTTCCTAATCCACCTGTGCCTCGGTCTTGTAATCCAGACAAGGCTGCCAAAACTGCAACAAGCACAGCATGAGATGTGACAACTGATAACAGCAAAAGTATGTATCCATAATTAGAAAGAAAAACAAAGAAAAGAAACAAGGACATGTTGTGCATACCAGAGATGGTGGGTGTAAGGACACCATCACCTATCACCATGCATGCTCCAAACAGAACAAAAAGAAGCAAACATGTCCGCAGCTTCTTGTGCTTCTCTAGAAACCTTTTGAATGGAGAGGACATAGCAGTCCGATCAACCCCAGGCTGATAATATGTTGACAGCTCTTCATCTGCCGCTTGCTGGTTTGGAAGCAGGCTCATCTTTGCATGTCTGCAGAGTAGTGAATACAAAGCAAACGTCCCGCCTGGATAACACATTTACTTTATTCAGTAACCACATGCAGTGAAAAAAACTAGCTTAACAAAATAACTACTCCTAGATAGCTCAAGTCACCACTCTACTGTAAAAGAGAAGGAACACAAGTTCATCCTTTGGAGAAAGAAAAAATACTTATGGCAAAAAGGTCCGCTGCACATGTTATGCTTACAATCTTATTACAGAACATCACATTTTCTATATTCCTTTCCGCCTACCAGAATTTATGTGTGCTCTACTAAGCTAGGCTAACACTTCCTCCAAATTCAATAAACTAAAATTTGAACACGGGAGCATAAGTACTTCTATTAAGAAACCAACAAGACAAACTAGTTCAATGAGATCACTCACCCTCGCCGTTATCGTCAGCAGCCAAGACAATTATGACGTACTTTAGCAACGGAATGAGTGTCAAGGTCCAAAATATCAGTGAAAGCAATCCAAAGACGGTCGCCTCATCACTGTACTTGTCCAGTCCAGACAGTGCGCTTTTGAAGACATAAAGAGGCGACGTACTCAGGTCTCCATACACCACACCAAAGCTCTGAAACGCTAGTAGGGAAAGAGCTTTGTGATATTTCCACTGGCCCTGCAAAACAACAACCATCAGCACAGCAAGACTACGAACAATGACCACAAGAAACTGGTGAATGTCTCTAATAAACTACTCCCTCCGTTCACAAATATAAGATGTTTTAGATATTTCAATATGGACTACATACGGACTGAAACTAGTGAACAAACACACTAAAATGCGTCTAAATACATCCGAATCAGAAAAAAGCTAGAACATCTTAAAATAGTGGAGAGAGGGAGTAGTACACAAAACAAACGGCCAATGCAATTGCAATGATATGTCTATTTCTGGCGACGTTGGCCAAGATTGGATAAACCAGCAGCTGAGGCGATGTTGGCCAAAATTGGATAAACCAGCAGCTGATGAAACAGCTTATTGTATCAAAGAATTTCCGATACAGTCTACACCTCTCCGGTGATTTGAAGTTCAGAAACTGAAGCTGTATCAACAGAGAACTATGATGAGAATGCGCATGCCTGCCTGTAATAAGAAGGTGAAAACAAAGAGGTCGATTCATGGTCAGCCTGACTACTCCCTGAGCATCGAGCAAGCAATAACGAAACAGTTGACCCGATTCGATCACATGGCACGGATGAACCCAATGTTCTACTGTAGAACCAAGCAAAATTGGACTTGTAACAAAACAACTACCCAACCAATTGTATATACCCAGAATAATTGCACAGCCGCACCGCATCATCCCGCATCCGGCGGTAATTTTCTCACCCCCGCTCCGAACAAGCGAGATCGAAATCTCGGCACCACCATCAAGTAAAACCCGAACACGGCCGCCTTCCAAATCACAACATCATAATCCGAATTCCCGACGCGGCATGGAGACGGGTGGAGCGGAGCGGAGCGGTTCGTTACCTGCGGCGCGGCGGCGGCGCCGATCTCCTCGTCCATTGGGGGCGCCCGCCCGCCACTGGAATCTCGCGGCGACGGCTACTCGAAGCGGCTGCAGCAGCAGCAGAGGAAGCTGATGCTAGCTCCCCCGGGGCTAGCGCGGCGAGGCGGGAGGG